ATGTTTTCATAGATACAGTTACATGAATACATTTACATAGAGATGCTTACATGAATACGCTTACATGAATACGTTTACATAGATACACTTACATGAATACGCTTACAAGAATACGTTTACATAGATATGCTTACATGAATACGCTTACAAGAATACGTTTACATAGATACGCTTACATTAACATGTTTACATTAATACGTTTAATAGATACTATTACATAGAATCTGTTACAAACGTTTCGGGACTTACCATTCCACACCCAAAGCTGTTAGTTATAGTAGCGAAAATGATCATCGAAGGGTGTCTACGGTTATATTGTTCGGTGAGTTTCCACACCGTGAATATCCTAGTACAAAAAGATACAATTTTTAGTTATTATATTATGTTCATTCCTTTACTTTGTGACACATTCACATAAACGACGACGTAGGATATATTTGATATGGATAGACTATTTTCCTTATTACCTTTATATTGTGACTCTTACACATAAACGGCGAGGTAAACTATAGTTTTATAATAATAGTTAAACAGGGAGAAATCGTCACATTTATAGTGATGCTTACATACAAAATAGTCGGGTCTTGGTAGAAGACTACTTTCAAAACAGTCGGGTCTTGGTAGAAGGCTACTTTCAAAACAGTCGAGTCTTGGTAGCAGACTACTTTTATACTAGTAGGAAATATGGGATTTTCTAGGGTTTTCTAATGTTTACAATTACTTACAAACACTTTCATACTTATACAAACTTTTCTTCAAACATTTACAAGTCTTTCTTTACAGTTTTACAAATCAAAGACACATTAATACTTATGAATTCACCAGTTTTATTGTTGATACTCGCTTTCAAAATAACTTGTATTCTCAGGTCACCAATAGACAGGTACGACGACCAGGTTTTGTGAAGGTGGAGCAGTCAAGACTCGTCTTTTATTTTGAATATTCATTAGGTTGTTTATACTTTGGAAGAACACACTTGTATTTAAAATTATACTATTAATGCAATGGATGATGTTGTTGCTTGTTTACTACTTTGCATTGTTGTGATACTTTACACAACGTCCTCCGCCCCAGAACGTTTCCGCCGTTCTTGGTTTTGGGGTGTGACACAAGCAAAACATAATTGCACAATCTACTAAATAAGAATACACTGCTATTTCAGAAGTTGAAATCAAGTATGATTAGATGGATGAGTTCATTGAAAAACTATGTTGATTTCTGCCATTCAAGGATCACATAGAAATCTTTGTGACTTAGAGAGTATACTTAATCAAGCTAAAAGTCTCTATGTCATGAAAGAAACCCAATTATATTCTCCAATATATTTAACTATACTTAAAGTAAAGTAAAAAATGGAGACGATAGTATTTGTAGAATTCACACAAATTAAATTTAGTTAGGCTCATTAATAAAGTCCTTCCTTTTAAGCTAAGTATGAGTGGTCACACTTCACCTATATGACTTCATTATTATAGAAATGGGATTTTGATTTGGATTTAGTATTTGGATATTGGAACATTAAGACAAAAATATTATATTTAATGTTGATATATTGGGACATGATCATCACATCAATATTTGTTGTGTTCTATATTAACATGTTTAATCCATGAATAATATTATTATTCTAAAAGATCATAGTCCATTATAAGTATGGGAGCAATTATGAAGTAAGACTAATATTGTACCAACCTTTTATTTTTCATGTCAATAAAAGTCAAACCCTTTAAATAAAATTCATGTTTTGTTGATCTTGTTAAGATCATAAGGGTTAAATATGATTTAAGTTATATAAATGATGTTTTTATATAAGTATTTGGAATAAAATGCACTTAAAAATCAAAACTTTTCTCCTTGGAACTGAGAACCTTCGCACCGAAAGCCCTTTTCGGCCAAAAGCCCTCGGATCGCAAACCCCACCGAGAACTCCCCAGACCGAAAAATCCCTTCCGACCGAGAACCCTCTCGATATATATGATTTAAATCGAATACATAGGTCATTTCTCACTTTTCCAACCGAAAACACACCCATTTTACTCTTAAGTATCATACGAGAATCTTCAAATCTTCAAGCAAAATCCTTCAAATCTTCATAATTTTCATCAAGAACACCAAGAACACCAAGAAGAATCTTCAAATCTTCAAGCCTGACCGAAAACCACTTGGACCGAGAACTCACTCAGACCTAGAACCCTTTAAGACCATGAACTTAGGTCTTGGTTAAGGTTTTTAGACCGAAATCAAGGGATTTCGGTGAGGGATAGATCGAAAACCCTTATCATCACTTCAAATAATTCTCGGTAATTTTGTTAAGTATTCCTTACATAAATTAAGTGTTGCCTAACACTTTAATTAATTATTTCACTAATTTAAATATGATTACATATTTAAATAATATTAGGATATCGTTATTTCCACGTACGCTAACCCGATGATCATCTCTACAGTTCTGCTATCCAGACTCGAACATAGACAAGAGGTGAGTTCACCCCCCTACGTTTTCACTATTTTTCAATGTTTTTTTTGGGTGGGGGGGGGGATACATGGACTCTTGTGTTAACATTCAAACGATTTGCAATTGTTTGAAACCGATTTATCGCTGCATTTATCAAAATATATTTATATATATTTTTAACCCTTTTGTAACATGCCGAGCAAAAAGGGAACCTTATTCAAATCTTTTATTACTGCTTTATACACACTGATAAATTGCAAAGGTTTCTATTTCACTACAGAGTATACATTCAAATTATAATAAGTATAGTTTGTGAATCACTACACTATTTTACAGGCTCGAGAACTCTATACAGAAACAAGTGTATAAACTATAATAGGTACAGTTTATGGAACACTACTCTATTCACTAATTCCAGGATACACTACTAAAAAAATTATTTAAGTATGATTATTTTACAATACAAAGTACACTACTACAATGCAATGCATACAGATTCAAGTAAAAGAGAACTCTACTACACTACACATAAACTAGTTAATACAGGGCTGTGAGGCACTACTTCGTTGTACCCATAAGGGTACATGTCTAAGTTTGATAAATTATAACTAGAGTCTCCTAGAGGGAGACCGTGAATTTTTGTATATCTATACAGGACTGACAATCCCGCACCTAAGTTGCTTGCAACAACTAGGCCGACAGGCATGGGGTGACAAATGGAATAACATTCCGATGCCTGAAGAACATTGTATAGGCCACTAGGTTATAATAGTATGGTTATATCAACTAAAACATTTTTTTACGGGATTATTATTACTTCAAAAGTTTTATTTTAAATAATGAAACCACAGTATACTAGTTTACACTACAAATGGTGGGTTCTAGGCACACATACAAAAGGTTTCCATACAAACACTACTACGATACACTACTATTTTCAGTGCAAAGTACATTAGTACAACATATGATTTCAAGAAACATTCATGATATAGTTTTATTCATTAATAAGACTACCATTTACTATTTCAGAGTATACTTTACTATTTCAGAGTATAGTTCAATATTTCAGAGTACAATAAGAAACATACATTTTGGTCTTAAGTCCTAAGACTGCATTTCATTCAGTAAATAAAATATTGGACTTTATGGAAGTACACTATAACATTTTCAATGAACAAAGACAAGCTTTCCATCTCAAAAATATACTTATGAATTCACCAATGTAAATTTTGATACACTTTCAAAACCACTTGTATTCTCAGGGAACCGGTTGACAGGTACACCCACAGGTTTTGAGAATACGTAGATCATAGATTCTTATATGTTATACTTTTGCAATACACTTTTGATGTCATAACAACTATGTATTGAACAGATGTAAACACTATATTTTATCAATATAATGGTTTTGTTTGCTTTGATTACTATTATGCAATTGTTGTGATATTAGACATGACGTCCTCTTCCCCGAACGTTTCCTCCGTTCCAGTTTAGGGGTATGACAAATATGAATTAGATTGGTTGACTCTAATTCAACGTTCAAAGTAAACAACCAAAATTCAACTTAGATGGCCACCACGTCGTGGCCAAGAATTTTTCGTGATGTGGTAGCCTCACAACAAACAATCGTGAGACTGCCTCCCACCACGTCGTGGTGGCCAAACCACCACATTGTTAAACCTATTATGGCAAACTTAATGCATTAAGCACTTAATCCTTAAAGTTACACATTCATACTTTGATGTAGGCTTTCTTACACCTAATAAGTTTTAAAAATCATTTCTTTGTAGACATGCATGCCCAATGCATGTCTTTCCCAAGTTAGGTCACAACAATGGTGAATATGAGGTCAAAACCTCATGATTGGAATTTGTTGTGACATGCTCTACAGGGGTTTGGGTGTCGGATGATGGATCTGTCCTGGAAGATTTCCTAAGAACACAACATAGAAGGATCATTAAAGGACGACCCAATGTTCTCCCGGAACGTCACTTTGACGATCAAGTTAGTTTTCTGAGAGAGAGAGAATTTAGGGTAAAATTCGTAAGGGAGAATATGGATCCCTTCCTTGAGGCGGAAGAGATACTTTTATACCTGTTACTAACGGATCGTGGGGACCTTGTCTAATTTGTGTGAAATGTGGCCTCCTCTAAGTGGGGGAATCAACCACACGTTAACTAACTGCCTAGTGACGTCAGTTTTGAGCGTCACCTAAGCTTTTTGTCACGTCTTAATTGATCGTTAGTGAACGAGAAGATCACGGGGAATATTCTTTCCTCGTTGACGAAAACAAACTGCCACCCTGGTGTTGGATTACTTAGGCCAACTTCTGGCCTAGTCCAAGGTTCTATTGAGATAACGTCTCATTTATACTTCTGTTGCATTTAATGTGGCCGTTCATGGTAATGTTAAGAAGTCCCTTAGACCAATAGGCTTCTGCGTTCATGATGTAACAGAGTTTTTCTGGTCTATTCACAGATACGTGGCGGGCCAAAATATCCATTCTTTGGCGGTTTCATCATGAAAACGGTTCGCTGACTCTTTAATGGTATTTAAACCTTTGTTCCTCTTGGCGTTTCCTCCTTACTTTCTACTTTTCTCTCTTTAACTTCTTTCCCCAAGGAAACCTTTTCGACCCTTTCTTCGTATTCTTCCATAGCTACCGCTCATTCCTTGGGAAGGGATCATACTACCGAAGAGTGGGAATCTTTTCAGTTCCGATTCGGGTTTGTCCTAGAACATGGAGTGCAAATCCCCTTTCTTGATGCATCACTTTACAATCCTCCTGAGGGAAAAGTTAGCATTCTAATCGCTTTGTTTGAAGCAGGTCTTCGTTTGCCTACTATAGACTTCTTCAACCTGATTATCCACGAATGTGGGTTTTTCGTGAGAGATTTGACCCCTATTGCTATAAACAAGATAATGGGTTTTGAACTCCTCTGTCGTGCCCTAGGCCGCCTGCCGACTGTTCCAGCCTTCAAGTTCTTATTCAATGCCTCTACTCAGTCTCGTCCGTGGGGAGTCCCTATCTTTATCCACAATAAAAAATTCCAAGAAGAACTGATAGGAGAAGTTTTTATGGGTGAACAGCGACCTCGTGGTGCTCAGCTATCCAAGGGCTAAGGTGTACATCGACCGCGCTCCAACACGCTTTGGTGCTGACAATGATCTGGCTGATGCCCTAAAGAAGATCAACATCAATGGTGAAGATTGGCTTGATTTCTTCTTGGTCTCTTGCGAAATGAGCGTCGCTTGGAGGGCTCGCGGGAAGATGCCCGAGTTTTTCATCGAGAAAGAAGGTATTGTGCTTCTCAGACTGTTTTTTCATGCCCCTTGCCCCTTTTTAATCGGCAAAGAACGTTTTAATTGGCATTTTGGTTAACCGTCGTTGTTTTTTTCAGGTATGGAGGAGGTTGTTTGTTTAAAGAAAGATCTTCATGGTCTATTCGACGGTGAACTTCAGTGTCGCAACGTCGATCTGGTAGAGACTCTTCCACCCCATGTTTCCAGTCGAGGAATCGAGGCTACCGTCGGTTCTGACATCATTGTCATCGGCGCTTCTGAGAAGGATCTAGATCTGCAGGACATCGTTGTCATTGGCGATTCTCAAAAGGATCCTACACCTTCCGGGTCTCCGAGGAGTCTTCGATGTGTCAAGAGGCATTTTGCTTTCTTAGAATCCTCTTCCAGTGGTCGAACTAGGACGGCTAGCACCGAGCCCCCTCTTCATAAGAAATGTAATCTAAGTTTCTTACTAGGGGTACCAAGAGTTCCAACCGTGACCCCGATGAAAGTCCTCCAAAACTGCTCGAGGTGGCACAAATCAGGGCGACTGAACCGCCCAGTCTTACAGAGGAAGAAAACACCGACAAGACTATCCCTGGTTCCCCTGTTGGAGAAACCAAGGCGAAGACTGGGTCTTCGCCTTCCCAAGGTCACGCATCAACTTCTTCTGGTAAAACTGCAACTGCCCCCCTTTTGTAGGTTCTCATAAATATGCCTACAAGCCAGCTTGGAGCCTAACTTCCCAAGACCTTGTCTTTGATCACGACACTGATCTTGAGTGGTGTTAGCACGCTTTTCCTCCAGCTACAACTGAGGCCTTAACCGGCCCTAAGTGGATGAGCACATGGCCGACAACTTGCGCTATGTAGCCGCCCAAGTGTCATCTTACTTGGCCGCAACTACTGAACGCATCTCTGATATGGAGACCACCCAGTCTGACTCTGATAGGAAGAGCATTGAATGTGAAGATCTAAAGTCCCAAGTGGCAAAGATAGAAGCAGACAAGCGCAGTTGGGAGGCCAAGCAGGAGGTGGCACTACTCGAGAAGGCAAGCTTAAAAGAACAAGTGGAAAATTTGGAGGAATAGGTGGGGCGCCTGAATGATCTCTTGGGATCCCTGAGTTTGGAGAATACTAGTCTCAGCTAGAGGAAGGTAGAACTGGAGGTCGATCTGGCTACTGAGAACGCTGCAAAAGGGGCGCTGGAGAATGATATTTCGTGGATCCTTAGTGATGGGCTCAACCGGGTGGTGGACAGGGTGATTAAGAGCCCTCAATTTCTTCAAGGTTTGGTTCATGTGTAGGCGGCTTGTGTGACGGCATGGGTGGAGTAGGGAAAAAGAGTTGGTGATTGTCAGGGAGTTTAATCGAGAGGTTGAGGTGGACGTGGCCACTAAGACCCAAGAGATGGAAGATGCCATGGCGACTTTCACTAAAATAGATTTTATTGGCTATCTCCGCCTGGGCAGTTTGGACATGTCCGGGTTCCGCGATCTTTGTCAAGATGCTCAGAGCGATGGGTCTGACCCTAGCCTACTCTCTTCACTCGGTGATGGTAACACCCTTTCCCATACTTAGCGTTGTTTATTTGGTTTGTTTTGATGTAACTCCTATGAACAATGTTTTCTATTTCTTTCTTTGTTTTTTGTCTTTGTTGCCCTCAGTGGCAGTCTGAAAGTCCGGGAGTCTGGCGACTTTGACAATGTTCATACGAATCGATTCAATTTGATCCTCACAAAAACAGCTTCATACGTACATCTCTTTCTTCTAGATCACTTTTCCAGCAAAGCCGTCATATCAGAACACCGAAGTACTCATGCCAGGAGTACCTCTTAGTTATTTTCTTTTCGAAGAAATCCCCGAAGTACCCCTCGTGCAGTACGTCAAGTTTAATCCAAGGGTTCATGCGATTGAATCTATCACTAAGGAAGGTATACATAAGAGTGATATATAATCAAGCTTCTACAGGTTTAGAATTGATGATTCCACTTTAACTTCTTTTCCCCGATAGGATGTGAGCTTAAGGAAGAATCAGTTATTCGACTACCTTTTCAATCTTAATTATATACTACTCGTATACCCGAAGTTGTGATTGTGAAACCACGTATGAATTCTAATATGAACTTCAGGACGGAGAACTGCTTAAGCCTACGAGTAATCGCATCGTCATGTGAACAAACTTAGAACCCAATACGACTCCCGTAAACAGATCACCCTATAGTCTAAACATCTACGGAGATACAAGAACAATACAGACGACTTAACGAACTACAAAGAAATAGAATTAGAAGACTAGGCTTCTTACCCTGGAGAACCCGGTCTTATTATTCCAGAGATCGAAGGACGGCATCGTATGTACCTCGGATATCGAGGACTCGTCAATATTTTTCATTAGAAATCGTTATCTCTGCCTCGCATAGATGAAATGGTTGAGAAAATGCAAGGAAAGAATTACTTTCAGAAATGGATCTGAGATCCGAATATCACCAGTTCGAGTGTTAGGGAAGGATGTCTGGAAGACTACCTTCTGAACTCGATGCGGACACTTCGAGTCCGTAGTGATACCCCTCAGATAGGACCAATACGCCCATAATTTTCGTGAGTTTAATGAATAGAGTCCTTAATGAATAGAGTTCGTCTTTCCTACTTGGATCAGTTCATCATTCTCCAAGTAATGACTTACTTATCTACCCTCGTAGTAAGAAGGAACCCATGTAAACATTACCTTCGGAGGAACTTACGCGTAGTTCTCTAAGAACGAGTTTTGAAATTTAAGAGTCGAAATTCTATGACACACTATAAGTGATGTGGGAAATTTTGAGTACTCTTACAATTTGTCAAAACCGTTGAGAAATTGTCGACACCAGAGACGCCGATAGTCATACGCCAAATTCTAGGTCTTACAGACCTACTTTCTTAGTTCATTCAGAATTCCTCACAAATTACAGAAACCCTTTCAACTTTGACCCAGCAAGGGGTGGCCCTTGACTGGGAAGTTAGCAAGAAAAAGAAACCTTGGAGATTCCAAGTGAGAGGCCAAGTCCTTTAGGAAAAACTCACTTTGGGAAATGGCTTAATACGCTTCATAAAGCATGGAAAGCTAAATCCAAGATAGATAGGACCTTCGGGATTCGTACCAGAATCGGTCTTGTACCTCGCACAAACTAGACCTACTCCGCGAACTCAGTAACGTACATTCTACTCTTCACGTCTCGATCGGGAAGCCATACCTTTCCGTTAGGACTCTTGTAAGTCCACTCGTAGAGATCCTCGCCTTCGTATTTGAACCGCAGTGACCCTCGACCGAGTGGTCAAGCGGACGAAGCAACACGATCGCCCGTTAGTGAAGTTTCGTTGGGATACCAACCGAGGACCCGATTTCACTTAGGTGCGCTAGAACCAATCAATTAGGAAGTTTCCTCATCTCGACTCAATCATTCATACCTGCTTCCTTATCTAAATTCTAATTTTGGGACGAAATTCCCTTTAACAGGGGGATGATGTGACAACCCGAAATTTCTGTTCGGTCAAACCCTAAAACTCAACCACTTCGTAGCATAAGTCAATGTAATTATTTCTTATTTTTAAGAAATATAAAATTATTTTGATTATTTTAATATTATTTTTAAGCGAACGGGTGTAAGAAAGTGTCGTCTCGGGTTTTGATTTTTGAAAACCGCAAACACTTCGCGTATTAGAAACACCCGACCAAACTTTTATGTTTTGGGTTTAGAAATCACCAAAACCGTAAACTCATGCCTATGTATGAGTTTACTCCCCCAAAAGTTAGTCATTTGTGTTTACTCCCCAAAAGTCAAAAGAGTAAACTCCAAAATATCCTCTCAAGTATCATCCAAGATTTAATTCCAAATATTCAATCTTGTAAGTGTTTTAACCCTTCCAAGTTAGTAAAACACTTAATCTAGTGTTTGTGCATCTATTCATGCATTCATTTCCGGTTTTTGTTTAGATTTTCCAAAACACCAAGAACACCAGGAACACACACTAAGTGGTCTTGGCCTTTTAGCACAAATCAAGCCTCCCAATAGTAAGTGCTTCTATCTTTGAGTGATTTTAAGCTAGTACTACATTTAAACATCAATAAATAATGTCAAGAACACAAAGTTGGAGGTGTTCACGGTCCAAGAATGTTCCTGGGCCGTAAACACCATAAAATGCACCAAAGTGTGCGTAAGTCCCAAATCTAAGCCCTAGTTGATGTTTAGAACATCCTTGACATGTTTAAACCCTTCCTCTTGTGTTTAAGCCATGAAAAAGCACCAAAACCCCCAATTTTATGTGTTTACGGTTTAGGGATGTTCCAAAACCGTAAACACCCCAAAAAGTGGGTGATTCTTATGGCTAAATCTAACCTAGACTAATACCATGATTGAACTAAGGACTTGAAAACCCAAAATACCATAAACTTAGGAGTTGAAGGTAGTGAACTCATGAGTTTAAGGTAGTAAACTCATGAGAAATGGTCCTTAGATCGTAAACTCCATTGAGGAGTGTTTTGATGCCACACAACACTTCCTAAGGCTAATTCGTGAAGGAAGAATGCTTGGAATAGCCTAAAAGACATCAAATCACCAAGTGGTCAAAAGATTTGGAGTTTACGGCCATAAACTCAAGAGTTTACGACCGTAAACTCAAGGGGTGTTGATCCTTAGGGAGTAAACTCATTTTAAGAGTTACCCTTGAACCCCAAACACACTAGCCTTTCCCTACAACACTTAGATGCAACTCTTGAGACTTTTAACACTTGTATAAAGTGTTTAACATGTCCTAGAGTGTTTTAACTTTGTTTATTAGTTGTTTAAAGACTAATTATGTATATACATATATCCATATATGTTATTAGGATCTTTGTGCGTGTCTAAGTCTTCACTTGACACCAAGCACTTATCCGACACTTCTTTCCGATCCACTTACCACAGGTGAGTTCATACCCCCTTAATCAATGTTTTAGACTACTTTTAAATGTTTTATGGGGGGGGGGGGGGATACAAGTAGAATCATACTAGTTATTATATCAATCATATGTGATTAATAAGTAGAATTATGCTAGTTATTATATCAATCACATGTGATTAAT